ATTGAGCCAAGTTGTTGGACTGTATTTTTTATGGTACAACCCAAACTGCCTTTATAATTCCTTGTGCTTCTCTTCAAATACAAAGAGAGGGAGTGCATCATATGTGTTTAAGGAATAATCTTCTTCATCGACTTTAATGTGTTTTCGGGGATCTTTACTATGACAAGTTAGACAGATCAACTCAAAACCAAAGTCTTGAACTTGGAGACAACATCAATAAATATATATTTGTTTTGAATAACTGAAAAGTATTTCAATGCCAGTGACTAACGTGCGGTATGCTTTTGAAAAGTTGATGAAAGTGTTTCATCATCATCTGCTGTCTTCAGTGTTCTTCACGGAGAGTCTGTCTTTCAGAACTGGAGAGCAGAACTATCTATTATTTATAAAACTTCATTTTTCCCCACTCTCCATTAAATCAACAGCTCTGTCTTTTAGAAAAAGGTTACTTCAAAGGTTCACTGTTTTAAAAGAGAAAGCCTAAGGTCGGTGCATAACAAAGGACTACACCAAGTCCCCTCTATGCTCTATGCTTGACACTGCAAAGAGGACTCTGCTGAATCAGCAGCATTTTAGAACTCAATCAAGGACAGTAATTCAGTGACTTCATCATTAATCAAAACAGAGCTGGGTTTGCATCCTTTCTTGATGTCCTATTCTTTGTTGGTTTTCTGTTTCTCCCTGTATCTGCCATTTCGTCTCTGTCTCCCTCTGAGCCACCCGTTCCTGTGCACACTATAGTTTTGTTTCAAAGGTCAGCAGCGCCTGTCAATCATTCTGGCAGCAGAAACACAAACATATCATGGCCTGTCAGAAGTCAGACGGTAGAGTGATGTACTGTCCTGCTAACAGTGTCACAGATGATACAAGCACAAGGAGACGCGGCACGCCTTGTCATGAACACATTCAAATCATACGAATGATTCAGACTTGATAGGAAAAGCTCATTAAAGGAGTTTAGTTAGCTCTTGACACAGGAAATTCTAAATTTGAAAAAGTCTGCACTGTCAAAAGTCCTCCATAATGAATTAAATAAAATATTGTTTCCAGTTTTCCACAACACCTGCCTCTTCTGTTTAGTCTTGCTTAACTTATTGTTTTGACAGTTTTTGTGTCCTTATTCTTGCTTCCCTCCTCAAACCTCTACTTCACTCTTCTTCCCTTTCTGTCTTTTCTCTTATTCCTTGCAGAGCTATTCTTGTCCTCCAGTCCTCCAAAGCACTAAGGCTACCCATCACCGGCAAGTCACTCAGAGATATGGGTGAAGTGGACAATGCAGAAAAGGGGAGAAAAGAGAGAGGGGAGAGATTAAGGCTGAAAGATGAGGATAGGTGATGAGGATAGGTGATGTGCAAGTGGGGAAAAAAAGCAAGGTTTTGGATTTCATTTCAACAAGCCATGGTCAATATGGAGAGAGAAATGAAATGCCTACCCTTAGGTGGAGAAAATGAAATTAATTAGTTTTACAGCCTGATAAGGAAGTTAGAACAGGAGAAAGGAGGCGATAGGTGAGAAAGTGATTCTGAAGGGCAAAGTCAGGAGAAACAGTTGCCAATTATTTCCCTTCATAATAACGTCCTTGTGTTTGCTGAGAGAGCAATAGGCTGTGTGAGACCCTGCAGACCTTTGCACTATCACTGCTACACCAGTTGTATTTTGTTAATATAAACTTTATGAAGCTGCTGATCCCGAGCACAGCTCTCACACCCTCACCTAATGAACAGCGTAGAGTTTAGAGGAATAGGATGACAGTTTTTGAAATGGTTTTGTTTGCGCTCATCCCCAGAAGGTGTAGGAGATCAATACAACTTTGAGGCAAGTATTACGAAAAGGAAGCAACAACTATCATCCAGATAGCAAAGCTTAGCATTCTAACTAAGCAGGGGGAAGCTGCTAGCCGGGGCTCAGTCAAAAGGTGACAAAATCCGCCTACAACAACCTCTTAAACTCAATACATTTGTGCAATTAATTTAATCCATACAAACATGGCAGTCTTAATATTGGTTGAACTAGTTAATGGTGGTTATATGATGGATTATTCCTTAGCTAAGAGGTATAATTTTTCTCTCCTGTTTGTCTGGCTCCAAAGGCAGTCAAGAATTATTCCGGCACATAAGCACCAAGAATCGGCAAATCGCTTTTTAAGACTTCAGCTATGGATTAAACAAATGAGAGGGAGAGAGTGTTGTTACCTTTGGATAGAGCCAGATACGTTTCCCTCTCTTTTTCAAGTCTTAATGGCAAGATAAACTAACCCTCAATTGTCCTGAAATTTCATGCATCACTTATTTACAGTCTGGTTCAAGCAGAATAGATGTTTTCATCAGGGAAAAGATGAATTCAGCTTTAGCACAATCAAAAGTACTCACCTTTTATACACTATTATTGACACCGTGAACACAGTAATTTAGTTGTCGGATACTGAACAAAAGAGGAGCATTCCTCCTAGACCTCTTTAAGGGGAAAAGTAATCTCTGGCATGACAGCTATAACAGTTGGTATACTGACACGTTTAATCACAAAGGGCCGTCCTATCCTATGATAGTTGAATTTGACTTATGGGCTAGCAGCCATGATAATGATACATTGATGATTGATTAATTGATAGACGTACAACCGTGTCTGCAAAACGTAACATTGTTCTGTTTCCCCAAAGTACCATAATAACACGTTTTGCTTCACAGTAATGCTGTAGCAACATGGAACATACAATCATCTGTTTTCCTTTCTCTGAGAGATACTCATCCAACTCTGATTTACTGTATTTCTCCATATTTGTTATAAAGGGCCAGTTTTTCCTCCAATCAAATCATTTTCCTGCAAATTTTATGTACAGCTTCCTTTTCTATATGACTCAGAGATACGTCACGAGACAGCAGATACTCTTGTTTTATCTGGAATTTGAGCAAAACAACACGAGCATGACATTAATCTTCTTTTTGAATATTGCTATTTCTTTACACAGCCTTAACTTTACTCGTCATCCACTATACAGTGCTGCACGTCGGAAAATGCAAGACACTTGAATGGCGTGTGCTCAAAGTGATTAAAGAGGAATAATAATATTTTAGGAGCCATCACCTTGCCCGTAGGTGGAGGAGGTGGAATAACTAGTCATTCTCTGTCACAGCCTCTATTAGAAGCACTCTAGGAAGCTGCTGTGCCCACTTAGCACTGCAATAAATACTCTGAGAGCTGAGGGACAGTGGAGAGGGAATCAAGAGGGAGGGATAGAGGAGCAAGAGCTGATTATGTGATGAGAAAGACTGCAGAGAGGGACGTTAGAGGAAGTGAGAAAGAGAAGAAAGAAGAGGAGGGAAAGTTAAAAAAGGGAAATAGTTATGGAGAAATAAAATAAAGTATGGAAATTTATGTTGAGAAACAAATGACGCTGCAGAAATACCCTCTAGCAGACCAAATTGAAAGAGACCCCGGTTGTAACACACGCTTAATCTTTCCCTCCTTCTTCCCACCACCGTTGTTCTTTGGCGGGATGTGGAGTGGTCGGTGCTGCCAAGGAGCTTGGCAAACACAGAGCTCCACCTCTGACGCAGCCCGGAGGATTGTTTCCTCCCAGTTCTGTTTTGTCTGGATGGCCATTTGTGTGAATTATGGCCCAGCCCTTAGCAAGAAACAGCAAACATCTGCTAGCTGATTGGCTCATAAATTTACGCAGCACCTCAACGCCCACCATCCATTGTGTGTTGTCTGTGGTCAAACAGAAACAACAACAACAAAAGACCCATCCTGCCATGCTTGTTGCAGGTCAACACTGTTATGACGGATCAAAAGGGATTTGTTTTCATATTTGCTGCAATTAAGGTCAAACTGAAAGCTTGTTTATATTGTTACAAAAACATAATTGAAGCGATTCAGGTCAAGTCAGTAAGTTTAAATTAGCTAAGAACAGAGAAAGAGCAACCAGATACGACAAATTCCTCTCATTAGATATGCTGCAAGATCACACAAGTCTTGATCGCTAACAAGCATTCAAACAGGCGACTGCTGGGGCCGAGGGACTCCAGTGGTCCTGAGAGCTTCAGGAAAATAGTTTCCTGAACGAAACCACAGTCAGTGCCTCAAGGTTTTTATTTTCTTAAAGACGGTCAAACTCTTTCTTCATAACTTTAATTATTTGGATTGTGCTTTAGTAAATTTTAGTAAACTTTTACTTTGCCTACATCTTGATCCGAATAAGACATTAATCAATGTTTTAAGGAGGACTGTCTGAGACACCAGTGGCTGGGTTAGAAAACAAAGGCTTTCTTTCATATGTGTCTGTATGTTAGGATCCAGTAGGCATACATTTTGTCTTCCATGATGGATTTAAATGTATGTTTACTTAGTTTACAAAGTGGGGCATCTCGGTTCGAAGAAATGTTTACTGTCTAGAATGAATTTGAATTGTACATTACCCAGAAAGGGATGACTGTTTGGTGAAGAGGGGACAAGGGGCAAATAGTAAGTTGTTGTTTTGGTGTCTTGTGACAGTGCCATTGCAAAGCCCCCGAAAAGGTTAAGGTTCATAACTCAGCTTGGACCTATAACTCGCCCATTAATTGCATAAACACATTGTTGTGGTTCAAGTGAAGAAAACACTATCTCGGAGCATCTTTCATAACTTGCCTCGACCTGAAGCCATTTTTATACTTCATCATCATAGTACAAGGAAAAGACGGTCTATTCTGTACCTTAACGTAAACTCTGCCTTTGACATCTAGGAGGTAGTTAGAGGAGTTAAAGCGGCTTAGCGTTGTTATGCAAGACCTGCACCTACAGCAGATTATCAGCTGCAATACAAACAACTTACACATTTTAAAGATGGCTTAATAAGTCCTCAGCATTAATAAAGAATTGCCTACATTTGGCTGAAAGTCATTTAAATGTTACATTGGGTATAGAGGGCACTCGAACTTCAGAAAACCCTTACCGTTTTGTAATGTTGTCTGTTTAATGGTGAAAATGCCATATAGTCAAGTCTAACACAGGTTTGTTGTTACCTTTGATTCAGGTTGGCTCGGCACGGTAGCATGATGTGGTCGGTGGAGGTGTTGCGGTTCATTCTCCTTTTCGCTGATTTCCGTCATCACGTTTGTGAAAATGTTTCTTCGACGGCAGAGCAGAAACAAATTTGCCAAGTCCACAGTGACAGAAGGAATGTAGAAAGCTACGCCAACAGAGGTTTACACATCGTTACAGTGTCTTTCACAAGGAGGTAGAGCTTGTTTGAACTGTCAACTCATCTTTCAACGGGAACGTCCACCTGGGAATCTGCTTTGAACTAAGCCGCGGTATTCCTGGGACGAGGTGCTTCTTGGTGTGTGGTTTAATTTGCGCAGGTTAGACTGTTAAAGACGATACGGTGGAGTACAGAGTACAGAATCCAGTAGCCACTGTCAGTGGAAATGTTTGTCTAGGCTACTTCTCTCCGCTGACTCGCTTCAGTCTCGTCCGCCGGCCAGTTCTTCTCCCCTCGTGCACACACACACACACACACACGCGCGCGCGCGCGCGCGCTCTTACAACAACTTTGATTTCGCCGTGGCAAAGTGCTACACTCGCTCTGATTGGTTCATCACAGTAAAATACACCACGGGGACGTATGGAACACGACGTGATTGGTTGAGAAATTATGCCCCGCTGCAAGTGGTGGGAGGTAGGTCTCAAGAATCGAAATTGATTTGTGCTTTCTTTTACAGTTTTATAAACGCCATTTTACCTTTACCTCTTTAATTTTCATGATGAGGGAATTATCAATTGTATGTTGTTGGTTTTTTGGGTTTTTTTTTTGGGGGGGGGGCTTACATGGGCGAAATAACTATGGCAAAATGCACTCATAACGTAGGCTATGTAGGCTATACCATAAGGTTGCATGAGATAGTCTATTTCAAACAACGTCAGGCCAAACTTCCCTCATTTCAGTGACAATTATTTTAATGCATAGTCTTTGCATTCAAATTAAATTTTAGTCACTTTAATGAACGATCATGAAAACAAAAATATGACATTGTCATATAATGTAAAGTTCTTTTTTAGGACCCCTGTTGCAGCTTTTTTTTTTTTTTAGATCAGGCTACCAATACTAGAGACACAGAGACCATATTCATAATGAATGGCACACAGACAAATAACAAATTTTCCTTACAAGGGTTTTGTTATTTTCTTTAGGTTTACTCATCTTTGGTGAACAAGCAGACAATTGTACAAAGAAATCATGGCTCCTACCTGCAGTACCTGAAACCATGAGTTAACGGTTTTCACTAAACCAAGAACTAAATATGCATGGATAAGATCAAAGAATGAAAGCAAATATTAACCTTCCACACTAGTGCTGAAATGAGGATCAAAATAGAATGCAGCACACTGTAAAACAAGCAAACAGTGTTGGGTGTAACACAATGGCCGAGAGCCACAGGCCACCAGACAGCAGCAGTCCACTGGGAGCATCCGCAGCCAAGCATGGGTGGCTGATTCAGCACCAAGGACAGCTCCGCTCTGCTTTCTTGTCTGCCTGTATGTGTTACACCAAATTATTAGCCCTATATGCATTTAAGCTTGTGTGGTTTCATGCTGTTTGTGTTGTATTTCTGTCACTGATCGAGTTTCTTTTATGAATTAACAGCATGTGAACAGTATGAGGCATACTTTCTCCTCAACATCGGGCTAAGAATAGAAGGAATTCAGAACAAAGGAATGGCACAGACTACTAACAACTTCTGCTCTTGCTCGGGCAGATAAGTTAAGTCAGCAGGACAATTGTGGCTCTGTAATTAACAGGCCAGATGCTGGATACGTAAAGGTCCATTGAAGATTCTGCATTTGGGGCTGGATTTTGCTAACGTTTAGGTATAATGCACAAAGCAAGGGATCTATCTATCTATCTATCTATCTATCTATCTCTGTTGAGAGACATACTCTCAGAGGTAATGTAGATCTGTACACCATGTCCTAGTTTTTAGTGGCGGTTGTCTGCAACAATCGTCTGTTTTGAGCAGCTTGACTATGCACTTAAGAGCTCCTGCCCTTCTCATTTCATTATGCAAATGAAAGAACATGTTATTTTGTGTAAATGCATGCAAAAGCTAATAAGAGCCCTTCAACAGCCATTCAGTGTACTCATGTGTGTCTCAGGCGGGGCTATAATCAGCTTCACATTTGAATTAAGTGACCTTACTGCATATAACATAACATTATATCACACTGAATGTCTTCACAGTTGAAACTTTACATACACTTATTTCATGATGTTTTACACTATCATGGTATTGTTTTGTTTGTAGGCCACAGGTCTGTTTTTGCTTATTTTGCATTCTTCTCTTGCAATTTTTTTAAAGTTTGAGTTTCTTACTCTCTTTTTAATCTCTCATTGCCCATTTGGCCAGTTATGTTTTATGCATCCATGTTTTATAACTGTCCACCTCTGACAAATCCTCTACAAACAACATCAATTTTCCATAGGAAAACACGAGGAAGACAAGTAAAATGAAGACAAAACAGTAGTACTCTGTTCTCCCATGCCATGTCAGAGTAGTAGCTGGTGTCTATTTTGCAGCATCATCTTTTATTAACCGCTCTGGGGAACTTCTTTTTCTGCTCTACCAACGATACGCTGACCTCGATCTCATTCTGTTTTTGTTACGCATGCAGACAGTTACACACATGTATACTAAAACCTGTACACAAAGGACACTTTGTTCATTTGAGAGAAACAAAAAACTCTGCAAGACAGTAATAAAAACTGGTTCAATACAAACACAGCTTATTAAATGGGAACACATTTCCATGCAAGACTTGTAAAAGACTCATTTACAAATAATGCTGTAAGGAACAAGAGAGCAGGATTAGGGTCCCGTCTCTGGAAGGCACATGACCTGATATGACTCCATTTAATCTCCCCATCCACTCAAATTAGCATAACCCTTTTTCTCTCCATTCCCTACTTTCTCCCCCCCCCCTCTTCTTCTGCTCTACCGTTTTAAAACCACTTTACAATTTCTCCCACTGTTTGCTCGTTATCATGCCCTCACCCAAGCCAACTTTGTTTCTTATCTGTTTCCAGTGAAGAGAGGAGCCATCTCGCAGCAGGCAGCCCAGTGAGACAGCTGATGTCAGCTGTTTCTCAGCGCAGGGTGGCCAGAGATTTTTGTTATTGCAGTGGGGTGGCTTGGTTAGGCTCAGCTTGGTTTGTGGTTTATATGGAGCCTGACATGTTCCCATTAGTAGTTGACTGTCTTCTTTTTATGGTGTTTGTGCAATCATTGCTATAGCTGCCTCTAAAAAAAGACTCTTAACCAATTATCTCAATTCATTATGCATGCAAATACTGCTCATTTCACCATTATCTTAATCTTTGAACAATAAAAACAAATCATAACACAGGTAAGTTAACCTTGGTGCATTGCTCTTGTGCCCCAGCACAATCTGTATGCTTCTTTCTCATTTTATGCACACACACTCCTCTGAAAGGGTCATCTTGGCCATAATTAGAATATGATACCAGGAAATGACCTTGCTAAATCAAATGTTATCTCTGTCATTTTTTCCCAACTTCAAAAGGAAGTGCAGGGAAGAGATCTAACACAACACAGAAGATCTAACCAGCATGGTGCCAGAAGATTTTATGAAACTACATTATACAAGAGGATTCAGCAGGATCATTTTATCTAGTAATAAAATGTATTAGTCAATTGCTAACATTGTCAGTCTAAGTGGAAAAAATGACCAACAATACTTGCCTAAAAGGATATATGGGTGGATGAATGTATGTGAAAAGAAAATATTACAAAGATACTTTATCAGAATGGCTGCAGCAAACAAAAGGACTGAATAAGTGCAATAGATAAAGTCTTCTTTATTTTCACAAACCTCAGATAATGCATCTTAGGTTTCAAATACTTCCTCAAATTTTATCACACCAATTTTACAGAATAAGAATGTAAGTGTAAAAATCCACCTTTGACTAATAAGGCCTGAATAGAGCAGTGTTGAGCATAAAGTTGTTTGTAATAGTTAGGTGTGGTTGCAAATATTTATACATCAAAGATTGCTTGCAATACTTGGAGGGTACGACGAAATTAAAGCTCCTATTTGGCTCAAGGGAGGCTCAAGTAATGTAACTTGAGTCAGCTTTCAGAATTGATCAATTTTGGGTTTGGAATCAGAAGTAGCAATCATGCTACACTTCGACATCCTGAACATCCGACGATGGACTATTAGGGCCACATAAAAGAATAAAATGGAAGATTTTAGAGATTTAAGTTGTAATATTACGAGAAGAAACTTGTGAGAGAAGAAAGTCGTAATATTACGAAATTCAAATTGTAAAATGATGACATTAAAGTAGTAAAATAACAAGATTATTGATACTTTTATGAGAATAAAGTTGTAAAATTATGAGATTAAAGTCATAATTTTTTGCAAGAATTATTTCATAAATAAAATAGATTAACATTGCAAATTCTAAGTTTCAAATTGTACATGTAGTTGATTCAAGTCTTGGGTTGATTTTGTGAGAATAAAGTCGTATTGACTGTTCATTTTACACCGAGCATTAATTGCCGAAGGTTAAAGAGGACGGTGATTCCACCCATTTTCAAAAGCATGTGAAAAGACAATGATTTCCATGATTAATTTGCAAATTCCTTTCATAAAGAGGATTGGGAAGGCTAAAACTTCACCAGATGCTCTGCGTACCAAATGTTGGCAAAGGCGACTGGCTGCTGGCCAGGTGCTAGTGTCCTAGTTTATCCGATGTAGTTTGTACAGAAAAATCTGTGTTTGATCACGTGACCTGCAGATTAGTATGTTGCTCACATCACACCAGCAGTCCAGTTAGGCATCACACACTGTTTGAGAATGTGGTAGGAAATATGTATGTGGATTCAGATGGATCCCAAAATGTTGGCCATTGATTTGAACTTTGGATAACGTACTGTAGTTTCCAGGTTGTAACAAGGAAAGAGAATCTCCATCATGATTTGGACATTACTAGAATGTGATGATAATTTTGTAGATTTCTTCCACAAAAAACAAAACATATTCCGTTCATTACCACATGTCACTTACATCTGAAACACAGAGCCGAAATCAAATCGTGATTATCTGGCTATCCTCATTTTCAATATCCTTTCGAGCTTATTGCTGTGAAAAAAAAGACCATGAAGGGGAGATGCCTGTTATCTTGTGTGCTGCAGGATAAAGGATGCAAATCTTTCAAATCCAAACTCCACCTTGGCACAGTCAGAGCACGCATCACTTGAACTCTCTTTACTGAACCAGATCTATGCTCAGTTCTGAAGTTGGTGCTGGTTTAGAAAACCCAACAAAGCCAAACAGTAGCTGTCATCCTCTGAAGGAAAAGTTGAATGTTCATTGATTGGC